TGCATCTGCTTTACTGACCTCTAGTGTTTCCCACCAATTATTGTTTCAATCCAAAGAGATAGAATCAGTACATAGGAACTGGACCATTTTTAAAGTTGCAGATTAATTTTCAAATTGCAAGTTAATGTTTAATGGAGTATGTAACTTAATGAAAACAATGGCTGCTTTGTAATTAAAGAGGTTAAAAATGAATATAATTCCTCATAACAGGTTTCGAGGTGTAAAAATATCCCACCTTATTGTGTCTTCTGCGTCTTGGTTGTTTCCTGTTCACTCCTCAGTCAGAGCTCTGCACGGCTTCAGTTTCATGTCAGTTGGTGTTTAATTGACACACACTAACGCATGACTCAGCTGTTTCTAAGGCAGGAAAGCACATGCAAAACACTCAACACCTCCATAAAAAAACACACACATGACTGACTCAGGTCGTGTTGGACAGTCACATGCTCAGTGTGTATCCGGCTGATTCTAATTTTTCTGGTGTCAGCAGAATTTCAGTGTGTAAAGTTTTATATTTCACAGGATTTAGCTTTGACTTAATATTTGACATATGAGTACACGGGCACAGGGAGCAACAGACCTGCTACTTTCTTGCTTTGGGTTCATTAGTCCAATAAAACATTTTAGGTCATTTTCCTCGAGGTCAGTTTCTTACTGTGGCATTGATTGAGAATCTTAGTAAGCACAATTATCTTTACTGTTCTGTTGTGCACCAATCAAGATTTAGGAACATGTTGAAGTCTGATGCTAGTTGATTTAGTCACTACATATTTAATGTCGAACAGAGTAATAATTATGGTATTGAAGCAACGTTTAATGTAAGAGCCTGTGATATCTCATTCATAATTCATAGCTTATCTCATAGGAAATTGAATCGAACGCAACTGGATGTCGGGTTTTTGTCTTTTGAGACGTGTTGGGTGAAGGTGTATGGCTGGATATTTGTGTCAGTAGAAACTGATTGAGATTTTTAGAGCTGAATCTGATGAAATTATGAATTTGGATGTTTTTAATCTGGAATCTGAAGTTAGCATGACTTGAAATTTGAATTTTTGTTTGAAACGGTGATGATTTCAGCTTCACTTAAGAAAGTTCAACTTTTTTATGTACTTTCAAATTCAAGATCTTCTAAATTTAAATTCAAATCTCGTAAATTCGAAGTCAGATCACTTCAATACGAAAATTCAGATTCACTCAAAAATTCAGAGATTCGTCATACAAATTCAGTCGCTCGCATTCTCTCGTCGTCGGTATTCTCAACTCAATTTTCAAACCTAACCAGAATACAACTTTAAGGGTCACAGACGGGGTAATGCTTAAGGAAGGAAAGCGGAAATCGAGTTGCTTGAGTAAGCCTGCATTCTTTAACATTGCTCATGCTAAGACTCATTGATAAAGAAGCCCAGTTCCATCGAAATAATGGCGATAAATTATATTTTCTGATCTGTATCCATAACTTTTTATTTAATTATCAGTAAGTCCTTTCAAACTCAGTTATGATATAAGTGTTAACTTCTTGAACCTTATGTAGAGAAAGATAGTATGTATAGCTCTAGTTATGCTTTTAGGACGTGTGGCGTTGTGAATATGTCTGTGCGACCTGTCATCAATTGCTACAGTGACTCTGTATCTACTGCACTTTACATGTAGCCCGACTAGATAAAACTTTATTAGGAGTGGCTGTTAATATTTTCGGTTTAGTACATTTTGTTTTAGGCAGAAATGCATCGCTGCTTGGCAAGGCAGGGTTAGCTGCAAATCAGTGGCGGTTTTCTGTTGTTTGCTATAATTTACTGTTGGATTCTCTCATTAGTGCTTGATTTAGTTTCGACTTACACCGCGTGATTTTCCACCTTGCGCATGGTATTGATGATAATGACCTGGGTGTTTCACACGTAAGTAGAAGGTTAAAACATGGTGGCAATGGTTAAAGATTTACAGCCGATTGATGGATAGTAGTTGTGAAATATTCATACGGTGGCACATCTTCTCCTTTTTGGCAATTCAGATTCAGCTCTAAATAATTCAAATTCAGTTTCTACTGACACAAATATCAGCCCATAAAGGTGAAACGTCTTCAAAGACAAAAACCGAATCCAGTTGCGTTCGATTCAATTTCCTTGAGATAATTATGAATTATGAATGAGAATATTCACAGGCTTTACATTTAAACGTGGCTTCAAATCATAATTATTACCTGTATGACATTAAATATGTATGACTAAATCAACTAGCATCAGATTCAAATGTTCCTAAATCTTGATTGGTGCACAACAGAACAGTAAAATAATGTGTTACTGTAGATTCTCATCAATCACAGTAAGAAACTGATCGAGGAAATGACCTAAAATGTTTTTTATTGGAACTAATGAACCCAAAGCAAGAAGTAGCAGGTCTGTGCTCCTGTGCCCGTGTACTCATATGTCAAATATTAATCAAGCTAAATCTGTGAAATATGAAACTTTACACACTGAAATTCTGCTGACAGAGAAAAATAGAATCAGGGATTACACACTGAGCATGTTTGACTGTCCACACACGACTGATGTCAGTCATTGTGTTTTTTTATGGAGGTGTTGATGTGTTGATGTGCTTTCTGTTAGAAACAGTGAGTCAGGTTAGTGTGTGTCATTAAACACACTGACTGAAACTGAAGCCTGCAGAGCTCGACTGATGGAGTGAACAGGAAACAACAGAGAAGCAGAAACACAATAAGGTGGCTTATTTTTACACCTCGAACTGTTATAGGAATATATTCATTTTACCTCTTTAATTACAAAGCAGCCATTGTTTTCATTAATTACATACTCCATTAACATTAATTAGCAATTTGAAAATTAATCTGCAACTTTAAGAATGTGCCAGTTCTTGTACTGATTTCTATCGTCTTTGGAGTGAAACAATAATTGGTGGGAAACACAGAGGTCAGTAAGCAGATGCCAACAAATTGAATATGGGACAAATAATATTCCACTTAAATCTACATAGCTTGTGACTTTGTGGTGACAGCTTTTCCTGTTCCATATCACCATATCCATAACAGTAAGAAAAATAGCTTCAACGATCCTTCTCTGAGGAAACATTTAATAACTGCAGTTTGAAGGTTAGGTGCTCCAATACTCTCTGCAGATAAATACACATGGCAGTTAAAAATGAAAGAATATTTATTTATTTGATCAGTGTCATGGCTTTGTGTTTCCCTGTTCTGTTCTCTGTTCCCTCAAGCTCTGCCCAGGTGAGCTGATTGCTAACTGCGGTGCACCTGACCTGTGGTAATTAAAAGCTCTGTGCCAGCATCAGAAGGGAGAGCCTTTTGGAGTGGGGACTGCTGGTGTTACTGCCTCTCAGGCCCCTTTTCCACCTCAATGCACAATGACCTGAAAAGTATGATACTTTGGTTATTTTTTAAATAATTTATTTTTTGTTGAATTGCTCCAAACAGTGGAAAACTAGGTGCTTGAGTCGGAACAGTCAGTTCCCTGTTGGTGGGTTAGGCCTCTCAGTGGGGGATTTAGTGTTGCTTTGTGTGTTTTGATTGTCTTTAATTATTATTGATTTAGTGTTTTGGTTGTTTGTATTTCTTTATCTTAATAAATCCCGTGGATTTGGTTGTTTTAAAGGTGTTGTTGGTTGGGTCTTTTGGGTCAGTGGTGCAGTGTTGTTCATCCCGTAGGTGTGGCGTGAAAGGCAGTTTGTAGGTAGCATGATGTAACCTTGTGTCCTGCATCTTTATTGTTTTCATAAAGGACTACAATGGAAAAAACGTCTTATTGTTTCATCATTGGCATTTTGCAGTTGTGTACCAGTTTCCGTCTCATAATGTCAAATAAAGTAAAATCCAAATGCATTCATTAATAACGTGTTCAAATGTGTGCCGTTAAAAACTTCTTCCTATAAATCTGACAGTCCAGACTGTTCTCAGCATCTCATGTTGAGAAATGAACCCTGTTTATTTAAAGGAATTAATTTAGTCATTTGAGGAACAAATTGTCATAAAGTACAAAAAACACTTTCCATATTTCAACAAGTTCCTGCAATGTGTAGGCAGATTATCAGTAACTTCTGTCAGTGTCTCTGCTCTGGTTTACAGATCTATAACTGAAACTTCACACTCTAAGTTCAGAGTCTAAGTTCAGCTCTTTATAGAAACTCTTTACAGCTTCCACTCAGGACGGTTTATCTCTGGCTTGATGGCTGTATTTGAATGCATTTAGTTTGTTGTTCTTGACATGTTGTGT